CACACGGCAGACCAATCCGATGGGAAAAAAAAGGAGAAATACCAGAACAAACTTATACTGAATATGACTCTAAATATAATTTCTAATAATTAAACTATTCTCTAGATTGAGAATATATCACCAGCACATCAATTAAGAAAATAATAAAACACGAGCACAGTGAGTCAGAAGGCAGAAATGAAAAGGATAAAGGATTCAAAGAGAAGAAGAACATATATATATATATATATATATGTATGTATATGTAAATATAATTTCTAATAATTAAAGTATTTCTAATGCATAAGTTGTTACTCCCCTTGTTAAAAATATGAGGCATTTTTTATAGGTTGAATGTTTAAAAATTATTTTTAATTTTTTAAGATATAAAGATTATATTTTTTTCAAAAGTAACCATATTAAAAAAATTATTTTATATATTTTTCATGCAAAACATTCTATTAAATAAAGGTAAATATAAAAAGATAAAATTAATTTAAAAATAAGTAATTATTAAGAGTGAAATTTAATTAAAAATATTTTATATTTTTTAATGAAGGAAGTATTTTTTTGTTGGCAAGACGAGATTGTTAATTGTTAATATCATATATAAAGTAACTCGAGTGTATAATGAATTTTCGTTAAAGAATGGAGCGTTTTTATCATATGTTCAAAGTTGAATAATTAAAAATAAAATTAAACAATCAAATTCAAATTTTATTAATAATTAAAGCATAAAAATATATTTTTGTCAAAATAATTTGAATAATTTTATTCTTGTTTTCGTTTATGGACAGAAAATTAATAAATGATGATAATAAATGATGATATGTCAATGTCAACTTAAATATTTTTTACCTTAAAAAATATAAGGTATTTTTACTTAATTATCACCCTCGAATAAAATAGTTATATATTTTTAAACTAATTTTTTATATTTACCTCTATTTAATAAAATATTTTATTTTAAAATAAATATAAAATAATTTATTTAATAAGGAAATTTAAAAAAAATAAATAATTATGTATTAAAAAATTAAAAATGTCTTATATTTTTTAATATTTAATTCTTTAAAAATATTTTATATTTTTTTAATGAAAATAATATATGTTTTATGAGTAGTTAATCATGTTTATCAGTATTTTTAAAATTATAGTTGGATTTATTGGTTAAACCAAAAAATGAATTGGGAAAAAAATTGAAAGAATTGTTTTTTTTTTTTTGTAAAAAAAATCGTGTATGGTGGAACGATGATGCGTGCAACGTCCTGGGGCGCGCGTGGTGAGGCACCAATTCGGTGGAGTAGGGGAGGGATAAATTATTTCTCATGGACCTGGCATCTATGTTTCAACTTCCAAGTTCTAACTGACATCAGATGGCTCGTTGACAAATTTTATGGGCAAAATTATAATAAACCACCTACCATTGTGGATTAATATAAACATAAAAACCATAATTAATACCTCATTGTCAATATGTCCTATTTATAGGCTAAGATAGAAAAATTTTTTAATTTCACTTATAAATCACATTATTAAAATTTTATCACAAATTTTTTTTATTTTTCATTAGATGTTAAAGTAAAAAATTATGTTATTAAAATATATATATTTAATAACAATAAAATTGAAAATTTATTTCATTTTTAGATAAATTTAATAAAATTTAAAATTTTTTTAATATTAATTAAATATATTAAAAATAATTTATAAATAAAATTAATAAAAAAATATGAAATATAAAATCTATCTATCAATCAATAAATGATATAATAAGATTAATTGGTATTAGCATGTTTGCTGTCAATCATGCTTAGCTGGCTATGCTATAGCCATTCAACCCCAGCCCGCATACTTGAATAACAACTAAAAAAAAAAAAACATTTTACTATACCAAACAATGGACAAAGGTTGTATCCAGCCCAACCTGCTGTTTGTGTGTGTGTATTTTTGTTTATTGAATTTTAATTTTTATTTTATTAATAATTTTATAAGATATTTCTTCTTGACACATCTCATATAATAAATTGATTTTTGTTATAAACATTTAAAGTGTAAAAATACATTTTTATCTTTGAAGAATTTTTTAAAGAACACCCAACACCCTCACATTTTTGCTAAAGAAATTTTGTCATTAATATTATCAAAACGGAATATTTTTATCTTTTACATCAAAATTTTAACTTTGACCTCAAACATTGACCATTAAAAAATTTGATAAAAATAAAAAAATTACTCCAATAAAAATGTTAGAGTGTTGGGTACTCCTCAAAAATATTTTAGGAACAAAAATGCACATTTACCTAGTATTAAAAGTAGAGTGGATGTTCATTTTTCTCACCTCTTCATCTTCATTTTCTTTCATGAAACTCCCACCATCATAAGAGTTAATTACCTTTTATTTGCCTTTATCACTTGTATAACTTTTGATGTGTAAGATTATACTTATAAATAAGACATATTGTTTGTAGTAAAAGACACGACAATTTATGAAAAATTCTCTCATTCTCTTGCTTTTACTTTCTCTCCTAATATCTTTATTTTTTTAGTTACTTTACTTTATAAGAATTTTATGATTTTCATGAGGAATTTTTTTATTCCAATCATTTAAATTTTTTAAAATTTTATAATATATTAATAATATATAAAAAATAATGTATAATGGTTAAGTAATCATAATCTTAAATAGGGAAAATTTCAACTAAGAACAAGAGATGTGACTTAATTGTTAACTGGTCCCAAAATATCTAAAATTTAAAATTTTAATTCAGTCAAAGAGAATTGAACTGAAAATAATTTTAATGATAAAAAGATTAAAGTATCTTTACCTATTAATTTTGTGCAATGTACAAAATTATTAGTTGTTAATTTTCTTAATTTAACTATTAATTTATTAATATGAGTTGTAAATTACATGACTTGATCTGTTAATAATCATGCCAAATATAAACATTACTTTAATATCAGTTGTTCAATCATTTTATGAAACAAGCAATAATATCAGTTATTAATTTGCTAACTTTACTAGCAAATAAATAACTGATATTACTACTTATCTGACAAACTGTTTAAATAATTGATGTTCAAGTAATTATTGATAGGTCAAGTCATATAATTGACAACTCATATTAGTAAATTAACAAATAAAGTAAGGAAATTAAAAGCTAGTGATTCTATATATTAGACAAAATTAACAAGTGAATAATACTTTGATCTTTTCACTATTGAAATTATTTTCATGTTAGTCTTTCTAAATTAAACTGAAGTTTTTTTTTAAGAATCATTAATAATTAAGTCACACTCTTAAATTATGTCCTTGAAATTCTCTCTTTTAAATAAGGTTAAGTCTAAATTTTTCAGGCTTTTATCCCTTAAGAGAGGAGAAATTCCAACCTCAACTTCTGTGAAGGGAGAAAATCTGGTAAAAAAGAATTAGGAAGAATGACAATTGAGGACCTTTGAAGGAAATTGAAATAAAGTAAAGGCCTTGGAGTTGTAAATCCTAATATTTCAATTATAAATTCTTAATATTTTAATTGTAAAAGGTCCTTAATATTTTTCATATCTAGTATTTAGATATTAGTATTGTCATGTCTAGTATTTAATGAGATGTAAAAACGACACATGTGTTATTATATAATTGAAGTATTTAATTTTAAGTATATAAAAAAAAGTATACAAGTTTTGTTCTTATTGAAATTAAATAAATGATAAAATAATAAAAAAATTCCATAAAAATAAAAGTACGTATAAAATATATATTTTTTCACCCACTTTTGTTCTTCTTTTCTCTTCAAAAATAAATACGACAACTTTCAAAAAAAATTTCTCATTTCAACAACAACTATTAGCATGTTTTGTTGGCTTATCTGTGAGGGAATTACATGTAACCCGGATACAATTTTCATGTATAAACTGTTTGGTTGTTATTTTGTTTATAAAAGCTATTACATAATGTAATCCAGATTACATCATTTGTAGCAACGAGGATTACATTCAAAAACTTATGTAATCCCCATTCTCTCCTGTCAATTTACTCAAATATTCCTCCCCCTCCTTCCCTTCACCCTTCTTCCACCTCAACCTCACCGCCACTTGCCCACCTCCCTCCTCCGACTTGTCGCAACTCTCCCTCCTTCACTATAATTTGCGATGGCATGCTCCCTCTCCTCTTTCACTGTAACTTTGTTGTAATCTCGATTTTTGTTTGTATGTCGCAATCCTCTATCCCTAATTGTGTGCGTTTCTAGGTTCCTCATCTGTGTTGCATTTCTGGACATTGATTATGACAGGGAAGGAGGAGATTGAAGAGAAGGAGATATGGGAGAAAAAATTCTGACAAGGATATTTTAGTATTTTCATTTTTGTAATTATTAAAATAAATAAAAAATTTCTTATTTTTCTTAACATTCCCAAAATGATACCAAACAAACCAATTATAATCATCATTACGTTATATTCTATTTCTTTATTATTATATTATATTTCATTTCTTGTGATTCAATGAATCAAACAGGCACTAAGAAAACTGAGACAAAATTAAACCAACGCATAGAACAGTGTCCACAATGATAGGCACCGCTTGGTCTTTCATTTTAACCTAAAATGATCTCAACCATTTTTTAAAATTAATTTTCAAATATTTTTAATATTATATTTATTAAAATAAAAAATTTAATATTAAATTTGAACTATTTAAAGTATAATTAAATGATTAATTTACAAAGGTTACAAATTTTTAAATATTAAATTAAATTATTTAAATTATATTTAAACTGTTCAGACTCTATCTAGATAATTAGATTGTAAAATTATAAAACTGTTAATATTAAACTAAATATATACTTTAGATTTATTAAAATTTTTTATTTTTATATTAATAAATATAATATTAAAAATGTTTAAAAATCAATTTAAATGAATAATAAAGATTATTTTAAATTAAAATGAAGGGTCAGGACTTAAGATCACCACAAAAGATGAGCACCGAATGCAAATCCACACTTTCACTAACTCATGCATGAAGGTTATAATTAAGTAATTATATATTGTTCAGATTATATAATTTATAATACACAATATTAAGCAGGGAAAGTAAAATAGAGAAACTTGCCCCAAAAAATGTAAGAAAGAAAGAAAATAAGGCAAGTGGAGAAAACGGGAAGCTCCCACGTGATCACATTGCGTGTGATCCTTTGCACCCATATGTGGCTGCAAAAAGTGGAACCTGAACCAGATATTGTCTAAGCAATCAAGCTTGTTCCTTCTTCCCCAGAAGTTTTGGACAAGGTTGAAGTGGAAGACCAGTCAAATTCCCTCAATTTCAAAAGCAGATACAGCACTATGCCACATCCAAATCCCAGAGCAGCACCAGAGCCTGTGAGAGAAACAGCAGCACAAACCAGCATCACAAACGACTCTTGCTTCGTGTTCATATCCTTGGAAGCCATGGCCAGTTCAATCCCTGCAAATAACAGAAGCACCCCAAGAATTCCTATTGGGAATTCGTTCAGAATTCTCACGAAAGAGTTCCCCAGAACCAGAGCCAGCACCAGTTTCGCAATCCCCAGGAACACCACTGAAGCTCCGCTCCTTCCCCCAAATCGATACTGACCAGCCAACCCGCCGGCGCCATGGCAGCAAGGCATGGCACCGAACCAGCACCCCACGAAGTTCATGAGTCCAACGCTCACCGAAACCTTCATCGCCGAAGCTTCTTTCTCGGGGAACAAATCGCCTGAGAGCTTACACACTGCGATCACAGAGTTTAAAATTGAAAGAGGAATCTGTGGAATTGCTGCTCGAAGAAACCCTATTTTCCAATCCTCCCACGTGATGTGTATTAGAGAAATCTTCGACGGACCCAATCTCAGATCTTTGATCATAGAAGGGTCACGGAGAAAACAGAGGATCAAGCCGAATAAGAACACTATGAGAGCAGCTGGAATTGCTGACAAAACCCGCAATCTCCGTCTAATCTTGAGTTTCGGGTCGGGTTGAGTTCCGTTTTCTTCTCTGTTGTTGAGATTCACTGTTTCGCTGTGATCGTCGATGCCGGCTCCGGTGGTCAAGATGAGAAACAGAACGGCGGAGAGAGCGACGACGAGTCCATCGAAGCCGAGCCATGAGCGAGGGGGACCAGATTTCGAGGTGGGAATGTCTTGGTAGTAGCGAATATATTTCACGGCAGAGAACGCGAACTGGAGACCTTGGGAGAGTTGGATGCCGCGAACTACGGGAAGAGGGAGGTAACGGTAGAGGAAGGACATGAGGCCTGTGCAGCCGAGGAGGAGGAGAACGGCGGCAACAGAGAGACCGGCGGCAGCTATTTGGGGAATAGTGAGGGGAGGCGATTCAGAGATGGCAACGGCAGCGATAGACTTCATGGGCTGGACGGGCATGGGAAGCCCGAAGAGCAAACCAGTGGCGATGTTGTAGAGGGAGGTGAAGACGAGAGTGGTGGTGAGGTCAAGGTTGTTCACCAAAGCGAGAGCCAGAACGATTGGGATGTACGTGCCGAGGTCACCGACGGCACCGGAGAGCTCCGACCAGAGGGAAGTTTTAAGCTTGACAGCGTCCGGAAGGCGAGGGTAGCGCCACCGGTTGAGTAAGAGAGGAGTGGTGACGGCGTCGGGGTGGTCATCGGAGGCAGAATGTCCCGCCATGTCGGAGCGGAAAAATGGTGGCGGAATCAATGTATGATTTCCTCACAACCCAAAGACTTGTGTTATATAATTGATGTGGACATCAAATCATCAAATCAAGCAAGCCAAGCATGATGGTGATTGGTCATTGGTTACTGATCGGTACTAGCGAGGCACGTCTAGCTGTTTGTTCACTCAAAATATCTATTTTGTTAATGTTGTTTTGTTTTTCAAGCCTAATATTTTTTTGGTTGTATGTTGGGTTATTGGTTTGTGCTATTATTATTTCCCAAGTTGGCAAGAGAAGAGAAATTATATCAAGGCGTGAAAGTTTAAAATTAGCAAAAAGCGAAGGGAAGAACCAATGCTTTGGACTTTGGAGATAGAGGAGTGTGACGCATGAATTAAGAATTAGTTTATGTCAACCTCATTTTGCGTAAATTTTGGATTCTGATTTTAGAAGTAATGGAATGGTTGAAACTTGAAATAGAGCTATCACGCTGTCTAACACCGCACCAGCCAGCAGCACTCAGTGAATTGGAGACGTAAGGGAAATTCAAATCTGAGAAGCCATTAGACTGGTTCCCCGTTGACCATTAGGTGAATGTGTGTGCCACATCAAAGATTCTTTTCTGCTCAGATCACCCTTGTCACGTTTGTCTGCGATTCATTGGTTTCTTTTCTTTTCACATCCACAACTTTATTTATGCCCCACATATTATTTATTAGATAATGATATAAATTTAATCACCAACTGTAAAAAGATAGAATATTGAAAAGCTAGTAGGTGTAAGATTAATAAATTTTCAATCATTTTTATTTATATTACTGTAGATGTAGTGGTTTAACCGTTTAATATAAAGGATAAACAGACAAGGAGAGAGAGGATTCTCCTGTCTAATGCTTCGTGTGGGAATGAATTCATCTAAAGGTTCACCATTTTAGAGAACTTTCATCCGAATGGTAGAAATAGCTATTTTGATGAGTTTCCTCATATGAGAGTCAAGCCTAAGAGATTGGAGAGTATTATTTATGAAGTCTTAATGAAATGAAAGTCTGTCGATAGCCTTTTCAAGATCCACCTTGAGAGCCATGAAACCTTTTTTTTCCTGTCTTATTATTTATAGAGTGAATGATTTCTTGAGCGATTATAATGTTATCACTGCTTTAACAACCCTAAATGAAGCTACATTGATTATTTCTAATAAGATAGTTCATACAATCATAAAGCCGATTGGAGATAATTTTGGTAATGATTTTGTAACTCACATTGTAAAGAGATATCAGACGAAAATCTTTCATACTAGTTAGGTTATCAATCTTAGGGATAAGAGTGATAAAAGTATCATTTATCTCAGCAATTGTGTTAGGTTCCCTGAAAACTTTTTGAAATAGTTGAAAAATGCTAGCTTTAAGATCTTTCCAATAAATGCGTATGAAACTAGCATTACGACCATCTAGACCTGGAGCTTTGAAAGCCCTTATATCAAAAGTTGCATTTTTTATTTCTTTCTTTGCAACCTCTCTATGTAAAGAGAAAAGCTAAGCATTTGATAAGGGTGGGAAGTTTCGTTGAGTAATAAGCTTCAATTCATCATGATTAATTTTCTTAAAGAGTTTTTTAAAATAAGAAGCAGCCATATGTTTTGGTGAACTTTGATCTTGCACCCAAGTACCATCATCAACTTTAAGAGAAAGAATTTGATTTCTTTTCCTTTTAATGATAGTGGAGGCATGAAAATATTTAGTGTTGCGATCGCCCCATCTTAACCACTTGCATCTAGATTTTTGAAACCAAATTAATTTTTCTTAGAGAAGGACCTTGTTGTATTCTTCCTAAAGAGATTTTTCAAGTTTCCTAAAAAAGTAGTTATCCTTTTGATTTCTTTTTCTATTAATACCTTCTAATCGGCGAAGGATCCTTTTCTTTTTGGATGAAATGCTTCCAATATAGTTTATATTCCAAGTAAACGCAGATTTAGTAAATTTTATCTTTCCCTCATTCCAATTATTTATACCCTAAGATTCCTTAATTAGAGGATGGAAAGAAGCCTCGAGACTCCAAGCAACATGATGTCTAAAAGGTTTTTGGTGTTAGCTTTGGCAATCTCTATTAAAGAGCTAAACTCTGATAAGTCATTGGTTAAAACCATATTTGAGTAGATGGAAGGTGTTAGCCTGATTAAATTTGAGTCTCCATTCAGTGTTATAGAAGGCCCAATCGAGTCTTTCCTTAATGTTTTCTTTTTTCCAAGTAAATCTTTTTGCAGAAAAAATTCAGATCAAGAAGATTGGAAGAATTGATACATTGTTTAAATTGTTTCATATATCTCCAATTAAGTCCATTTCCTCCACTTTTGTCTTCACGAGATGGATAGAAACATTAAATCTAGATCATCCGCATTTATATAGACGGTCTAGATTTTTTTCAAAATTCAGTAGAGCTACAAAGGCACGTTTGCTTAGCGGAGCAAAGCCAAGTCTTGAAAAATCATCTTAGGTGGGTATGATATAGAGAGAGAGAGAGTTAAATGAATGGGCCCCCACAATTTTAATAAACGGTCATCCTGATGCTATAATTTTGTTAATTCATGATTTATTTTATATTATTTCAAAGTATAAATTATTAGATGTTCCTCATAAAATAATTCATGATTAAATTTAAAATTTTATTTTTTTTCTTATTAAATATGTATTCCCTCCAATGTTAAATATAAGATGAGAAAATAGCAACCAAGGACTTCAGTATCAGATTAATATCATTCAAAGACTAATTGACTTTAAAATTATAATATAGTCCCTTGATCCTTAATTGATATTAATTTATAAGGTCAAAAGATCAAATTACCCTTAAAAGTAAAAAAGCCACCCCTATATCGTCGTTTGTTGGGTCCAACGGTGAAGTTGCTGAAGCTCTTGCCACAGGCAACCAACCAGAGCTCGGGCTTCAATGACATTTTTATTAAAGGAATATTTGGTTTAGGTGGCCAAGGAAGGGTTTAATCCTATGACCCTTTGGCCACTTAAAAAGCTTAGTGATAGTGGTACCCACCAAGCCCTTTAATTATATATGTCAAACAAAAACAGAAGTACTAAAACAAGTTTATATCAACTTTCATGTTATAACATAACGGCGTGTTGTTAATTCATGAACTGTACTTGTTATTTCACTAATGTTACTTGTTAATGTGATACAGATAAATACAAATTGAGAACTTTAAAACTTCATATATTTTACTCGTTAAACGTCCAAATGTATTGTTGTTAATCATTAATAGGTTATTATCAAAACTCAAACAGATACTTGTTGAATAAGGACTAACATGTACAATTAAGCCTATCATATCAGTTTTTTAACTCGCTAAAATCTATATAGATTGTTGTTAATTTTGAATGAATTGTTATAAAATACTAAATGTATACTTGTTAATCAAAGACTAACACTTATACAATTAAGTTAATCTTATCCATTTTTATAACTTGTTAAATATCAAATGAAATATTATTAATTTAGAATAATTTATTGTTAAGATATGAATGGATACTTGTTAATAAAAAACTGACACATACAATTAAGTCTATCTTATCCATTTTTTAGCATGTTAAAGCCAAAATGGGCTGTTTTTGATGAAAAACTAACAGTGAAATTATGGCCATCCTATCTGCTTTTATAACTTGTTAAATCACAAATGTATTATTGTTAATTTAGAATGATTTTTGTTAAAACCTGAATGAATACTTGTTGATAAAAGGCTAACACGTATAATTAAGTCCATCATTTATGTTTGTCTAACTTGTTAAAGCCCGACTAATTAATGTTAATTTATAATAGCTTGTAATTAAAACTCGAATGTTTGTTGACGAAAGACTAAGATGTACAATTATGACCATCCACTATATTTTTTTATCAACGACTATCAATTTGAGTTTTAATAATAACTCATTTTAAATTAATAACAGTTCATTCGGGCTTTAACAAGTTAAAAAATGAATAAGATGTGCTTAATTGTATGTATCAGTCTTTCATCAACAAGTATTCTTTTGTGTTTTAATAACAAATTATTCTAAATTAACAACATTCTATTTAAAATTTAATAAGTTAGAAAAATAGATAAGGCGGGCTTAATTGTACAAGTATTAATCCTTCATCAATAAGTATACATTTATGTTTTTATAACAATTCATTTAAAATTAACAACAATCTATTCATGTTTTAACAAGTTAGAAAAACTGATAGGATAAGTTTAATTGTGCATGCTAGTCCTTTTCCAAAAAGTATCCGTTCAAATTATAATCTATTAGTGACTAACAACAATACATTTGAACGTTTAACAAGTAAAATACATGAAATTTTAAAGGCCTTAATTTCTAATTATCAATGTTAGATTAACAAGTAACATTAATAAAATAATAAGTGTAGTTCAATTTAATAACACACCATCATATTATAATATGAAAATTGATAGAAGCATGGTTCACTGCTTTTATTATTTTGTCGGCATATATAACAAAAGGGCTTGGTGGCCATTAGGTGGCCATGAGATTAAACTCTCCCTTAGCCACTTAAACCAAATATTTCTTAAATAAAAATGTTATCAATATTAGAGTTCTAGTGGTAAGCAGCCGGTGACCTCGCTAGTGGCAGGGGGTGCTAACGATGGTAGGGAGGTTGTTTTTTTTTTAACTTTTAATAACAATTTGATCTTTTGACTTAACAAATTAATATCAGTCAAAGATCAATGAATTACATTACAATTTTAAAATCAATTGGTCATTGATATCAATTTGGTATTGAACTCTTTGGTTGCTATTTTTCCATATAAGATATTATAAACTATATCATCAAGATCAGAGAGAAGCAATTAAATTATTAAAATGGTCTAAAATAAAATAATCTTTTACATTTATCTCTATTTAAGAGCATGAATTTTTAAAAATAAAATTTTAAAAAATTTTAAAAAAACCGACTGACATTCCATATTTTTAATATCTAAAAAGTATATTTTGGACTGAACAAACCTGCAGGAGATTACATGTATTAATTAGCTGACTTGGCTTCTTGTTAGTTGAATTGATGAAGGTGAAAATAGAAAAAGGAGAATAATATTAAAGTCTCACATAAAAAAATTAATTATTATAAGGCCGATATGCAGTTTAATTCAATTATTAATAAATTTTACAGTAATTAATTTATTTTTATGAGACCTAACTGTAATTCTTCAAATAAAAAAAACATGCACACAGTGGGGTTCTCAGGACTGAACCAATCAAAATTGGAAACTTGTGCCATAACTAGTTGAATAATAGGTATGATATCCTGGGAGTTGGCTTCGGTTCATTTTTCCTATCTTCATCCTATTCTTTCTTCATTTTTCTTCTCAACCATTAAATATATTTTTAAATAATTGAGATATAAATTTTCATAAAATTATTTTTATTTTTAAATTATAATCTTAAATCTCAATTTAGATAAAATTAATTACATCTTAAATTTATTTATTAATAATAATTAAAAATAAAAATAATATTAAAAAATATTAAATCTCAATCATTTAAAAATAAATTTAGAGAAAATGGAGAGAAGGCAACCTTGGTGCAGTTAAGTCTCAACATTAGTAACAGTACAAGCTTGGTATGTTTGACTCAAAGAAATCAGATTACATATACAGCTTTGGCCTAAAAAGGACGATTACATGTATAGCTATGGCCTGGACTATTTTGCAATAATAACACTACGACTCTAGTCCTGTACAGTCTATTCAGCAATGATTCAGGACATGGATCTCCTCCACCTGGGATGACGAGTCTGACCTTCGACCATCCTCGTCCTTACCTCCATGGGCGCTTGTCTCCGAAGCCCAACAACACCATTATCGTCGTTATCATCTTCAGTGTTGCTCATCTCCACACTCTTACTTAAGCCACCGCCACCTGCGGCAGTGGCGGCGGCGGAGGTAGGCACCGACACTAGCTTCTTCCACCTGAAGAATCCCAGCTTCTTCTTCTCTGCCATGCTTTCCATCTGAGCCTGCATCGCGTTGCACTGTCCTTGCAGCCTCACCACATCTTCCTTCAGCTTCTTTATCTCCTTCACCTGTTGCCCCAAGGTCTCTCGCCTCGACACGCACCTCGCGGGCGGCTCCGGCTCCAGCTGGCGATTCAGTTTGGTCTGCTCGGAGAAGAGAACCTGTAAGACTGCTCGGACCGGCAAGCGTTCGTTTTGAGCAGCGTGAAGCGACGCCTCGAGCGTGAGTTTGGCGCTATCTATCAGTCTACACATGACCTTCCTTTCTTGCTTCGATACTCCTGGATGCGCCTTTATCATCATCAACAAACCACTGTAAGATAAGATCCATTCCTGTTTTATTTATTTGTCATATTCATTTAATTAACCATTCTTTCTTTATTTTCTTCTTCTCGTTTCTTGCTATATTGTTGTTCTGCATCTGGATTTCAACCCAGGAATCATATCCATTAGGTACTCTGTAAATTAGAGACAATATTTACAAAAGAAACTGCCAAAGCAAAACCCGTCTCTTCTCTGTAAAACTTTGTCTCTGAGTTTATCTTTGTATTGCGGGTGTGGCTTGCTTTTGTCTTATCGCGAAGATTATTTCTGATTTCTGAAGGACTATCTATGCATGAGACAAAGGACATGAAAGGAAGACGTCGACACGCACACAAACAGCTCAAAGCTCGGTATAGATGATAATCAAAATGTGTGGTCCTGTAAACAACCGAAAATATATATCCCAACCCGTCCCCCACTTTATTATATTTATCTTTTAAAAATACAATAAATATATGAAAACATAATATTCTCCTTCGATTTAGTATTAAAAGACATTTTTAAAAAAAATCCCATGTTAACAAATATAATACATTTCATGTCTTTTAAAATGTAAATAATAAAAAATTTAAAAAATATTTTTAATTAAAGGTGTAACTAATAAAATTTTTAAATTGATACGTCATATTAAATAAAAATAAATATAAAAAATATAATTTTAAATATTATTAATTAATTTATTAAAAGTGTAAAGTAGATGAAAATGTTTATAGTTATGAATGGAAGTTTAGGGCCACACATGAGCAGGCAAGGCAAGGCATGTACCCAACTCGATATTTAGTGTGAAATATAAATGGTTTGCGATTTGTAGCTTGCTGCCCAAACCCTGCCCATGAGATGTCCATACGTTTTGGGCCGGGCAACATTGGGCTACCCTCCAAGTGATAGGGAAAAAAAGAAGGAAAGAAATTTATTGGTAAAATTAATTATAAATTAATTAATACAAAAAGAGAAGCATTTGGAAGAAAAATGGCATTCAGAAAAAATAAAAATCATAATATGCCACAAAGTAAAAGAAAGAAAGAAAGAAAGGAAAAAAAAAAAACTTACATGTAAAATGAAAGAAAGAAACATGATGAAAAGTTAAACGTAATAAAAATATCAATATGAACTTCACAACTTTAATATTTCAAAAGTCTTCTCTAAATTCATTGACTAAATGCACAGTTTAACGGCATTTGATACAAACACACACAGACACACACTCGAGCAGGGCATCTTGCCCGTTGCTCGAACATACCCAAATTCAGAATGAAAGGAGGGGCTGCCAACCCAGAATGAAAGGAGTATATTTTTCTAAATTTACTACTTATTTAATGTCTTTAAAAAGTTGGCCACAAAAATGCCTTTAAAAGTATTATTATAATAATAAATAGTGCTTTCTCTATCTTAAATTATACGATATTTTTAGAATAGATTTAATTTTTTAAAATATAAATCACTCTAAAAATATTAATATTTTACTAAACATATTTATTTTAATATTATCATTTCTCTCTTTTTAATTGTTGTGCTTATTTTGTTTTAATATATTAAATAAAAGATATTTTTTAAAAAATTATATTTTTATTTTAAAAAAATAAAGTTAAATCTATTTAATGTGATTTATTAGTATGCGAGATAATTTTGTATAAAAATATTTTATAATTGGGGATGAATGGAATAAATTATTTTAAAGGTAAAACATGATTAACAAACTTTTAATTTTGGATAAATAAGAGCATAATACTAAATTGCAAGGTCTGACATAAAAATTAATGTACGAAATTTTTAAGATTGACATTTGCCAAAAAAAAAATTGTAAAGAATTATTTATATGTATCGCTTTATACTTTGATCCATTAAAATAAAAATGTTAAATTTTACTTAAAATTAAAATTCCAATATAACTCGATATTGAATCTGCAATTTGTTAATTGCAAAAATTAAAATGAATATTTCACTAATATTTCAAATTAAATAGATATTAATAGATGAAGCACCCTCAGGAGGAAGACATACTTTAAGGTAAGTGTCAATGGCTCTGTACAATCCATCGTCTGTAGCTCTTGCATGCGTAGGAAGAGCTCCTGCAAGCGCAACGAACTCAGACAAGCTCAAATTGGCATCAATGGCGGCCTCGGCCAGGTACGAGTCCACTAACTTAGCCACCTTAACCAAAGCAGCACCACTCTTAGCACCTTCGCGATCCAAACTCACGAACCCATTCACCAACCTAATCGCAAGCTCTACATCCAACAATGTGTCACAAGTGTGATTGAAAGAAGGAATCATTAGCTCCTTCAACGATGCCTCGTCCAGCTGCCACGAAATCCTCATCTCAAGCTCCGATCTATGCGCGGCCTCAACGCCCACCATGTTGGCTGTTCTGAGGAGGCGAAGCAGGAAATTGCAGGGGATCGAGTTTCTCTCCGGAGGCAGAACACCCAATAGGGTTTCGACGAAGAAGCGCTTCTTCATCCACGAAACGGCGACTCTTTCGGGGGATTCTTGGAATTGGGTGAGGCTGCGTTCCGCGACGTCGATTGAAGAGACTTCGGGGAGCCATTTAGAGGCGTAGTGAGTGATAATGGAGCCGATTAGGTCTGGACACACGCCTTTTGATTTAACGCCTGAGAGAGTTTTCACGAAGAAGTCGATGTCGAGAATGCAGGCATCGTCCAACCAGCTCTCAGAGGAGAACACATCTGCTGGGTTGGATTGCTTCGTCGTCATTTTGGCGGTCGTGACAAGAAGAAGAAGAAGCACGTTGCTATGGCAGGCCTTTTGGCTTTTGGTGATAAGGATCTCTGTTTCATGTCATGTATAGATTATAGAAGGATGTGAGATTTTTTAATGGAATCAAATACTTGAAACGAGGACCACAGATTATGAACACAGTACAATATTCCCTGAGATTTGGATGGAGCTGTGGGGCAGATGGGTTATAGTGACGCCTGGAGAAAGATATGATGATGAAGATCCTCAATTGCACGAAAGCGACTTGAAACAGACGCCTCTGTTCCCTCTTCTCGTTTTATCCAATGCACTGTGTAAGGAACTTCGGCTCATCCTCTTCTCATCTGCACAATATCATTCCAAGGAATCTCAAGCAAACAATTTTCCAGGTTTGTTTCTTTTCTTGCTTCACCAGGCCATACTGGTCAAGTATTCATGAGCTTATGGCGGTGAAACTGATAACTTCGGTTTTGACGTAATCATAAAAATCATGAGACGCACAGTACATTGGAGCCACTGCACTTTTTTCCCCTGGCAATTGAGCCATCTCAGTACATTTTAGCTTACCATTAATATTTGCACATAATTATTATTTCTTATTATCTTCATGGATATTAATAAAATAGACTTTTTCATATTTTTAATCTGCCGGATCCATTGAAAGCAAGGATAAGAAGTCATAAGCAAGCATTGTCATAACTCAAAAGCGAATTTATTTTTCTAACAAAATAGCTTTGTAGGCAACAAAAATTAAAACTCAAACATTTAGATATTATTTGATTGAGGAGAAAGGAGCTCCTCCCCTCTTGTTGTCAGGTGGAGGGGAGGGAAAAATTTTCCATCCCCTCCAAAACCTCCGCCCAAATTGAAGAGAGCCCTCTTCTCCTCCCCTCCCTTCCTAAAATCAAACAAAGCCTTAATGGAAATAGCTCTTCTGAAGAAATTCCAAAATTAACTCACAAAACCGAACCTGTTGGATCAAAAATTTTCCATCCCTTGCTGTTGTTGTTTTTTATATTTATTATTATTGGATCAAAAAGCCTGTTGGTTTTATGAATGACGTGTGGATGGCAAACAGTTTGTGATTTTCTTTATTTTTTTGTTGGTTTGGGAACTGACAAACTGGGTAGTGGGCCCGCTGCATTTATTATTTGGTCCAGCCCGCGACGATTGGAATGGGGTTCACTTCACTAAATTTGATTGGGCAAGGGAATAGCGTTTATCCTCGGCGGCTATACTCTTGCATCCTGGTTGGTAAAGTGGGGGAAGGAAAAAAAAAATCTAATTTAGCTTCAAATCCTTCGTATGGTCTGCTGTTAATTATAACTTACAAGAGTAGGTTGCTCCTAGTGATTAAAAAACCAGACCAAATGGTCTAACCGATCTAACCGTTAACTGGTTTGGATTTTGGTTCGATCAGAATATAAAAATTATTTTGAGAGATTGAGTCAGGTTGTGTCATTTTGGATTGACTGTCGGATAGGAAACCAAATTCAATTTTCAAAAATCAGACTGTTTCAAAAAATTTATTTTTAAAAATTATTTAAATGTTGTATGGTTTGTTAAGTTATAATAAATTTAAATATTTGATTTTATTTTTAAATTAAGTAACAATTTCATATTTATTTTTTTTATTTAGATTATTATATACTTATATAATTTTTAAATTTAATTATTTTGTCAGCTGTTTGACTATTAATCTAACTCGGTTAAACCATATGAATTGTGGACCTTGACTTTTTTGATTTAATATCCAATTTGATTCTAAAAATATTTCCTTTTCTTCCTCTTTCTTTTTCTTCATGTTTTTTCCCCTCGTTTATAACAGCTCTTTTCCTTCACTCTAATTATCTGTTTTGGACTTTTGGTTCTAAAGTGTGAACCCGGTCTAATGCATGTTGTTTTTTAATTTCTGTTTGCTGGCCTTTGGGCCAGGCTTTTGCTTTCTTTCTTATCCATAGTCCGAGAAACAAAGTACTTTGAGAATGGTGGAGTCGAGGAAATGAGGAATGGTGGAGAATCTTGCATGTGTCTTCAGTTCCCTTTAATCTATACAAATTCCGTATTTTGAGAGCATGCCTTTCTGTTTAGCTCATTGAAAACAAAGTAAGAGGACCATGAATTATAAAAACAAGTTCTTCCTTTTGGAGAACAAAAATAATAATAAAAAACAAATAAGATTCTACAAAGGAGAAAACTTTGATGGAAAGGACTAAAACTCCTTCATCCGGTGAGGGCCAAGGAAAAAAGTTAGACTGAAGAAGTGAGTACCAAACTTATTCTATATGCAGGGTAATAACCTCCAACTAACAGGGTCATCTAGTATATGGTACTCATCAGTTCCACTTCATCTTTCTGTTCAGCAATTTCATAGAAAGAGATATTATTGAATATTGCTAGAAGTTGTGGTTTCAGATGTAGGACTTGCAGAGTCACCAGATGATGGATTTAATGGTGATACAACATGTCCATCCCCAATCTCAGACACAATAGCCGCTCTTTCCATCTCTTTCTCGAGTTCTTCCTCTCGTCTTAATGCAGAGAACTGAGTATCCAAGGACTTGGCAGCCGATAACCAGGCAAGAACAATCACCAGAAGCACCCCTCCCAGGTATGGCGTTGAATTAGCAAGTGAGCCAAAAGTTAAGATCATAAACTGCTGAATTAGGGCACCTCCTGACTTCCCCAATGGGTTGCAAACAACATCAATAGCTGCCTTCCCTTTTACCTACACCAAACAATTTAGAACCAATCAAATTTAAGCAAATCAGCAGGTTAATTTTTATGATCTAACTTGAAAAGTTGTTCTTATCAATTTGGTTTCCAATATGTTTGTTTGCATGCTGTGTAGAGCTTGGCTAAGCCCAGCATGTAGGTATTGGGCCTGAGCCCAACGTTATTTAGATCTACTGTTAAAGGCTAGCCAATTGCTCGAATTCAGATGCAAAACCATGGCTTGACCTGGGCCATGGACCACTTGGCCTTAAAGCACAAAGGCTGAAGAGAGTGAGCTTGAATTTAAGGCATTAACCCGGATGTTAGGAATAGGCCTAATTCCACCATGTTGGGCGATGTATATCCATGGATCTTCACATCCCAAGCACAACTCTAATTTTAAATGTAGTGAGGGAAGGAAGATTCCATTCCATACCTTGGTGTCCTCATCAAGGGGTATGTAGGCCATCTCTTTGCAGGGATCAAATAAACTGTATTTAGCACTTTTGGTGAATATGTTCTGCATGGCACCCACATAGACAGCTGCAAGTAGCGGCGTCATTCCAAACTTTGCAAGAGCCGGTGCAAGCGGATCTCCAAACAGTATAAGAGAGAAGAAACCAACGCCGGTCAGAAGAAGGACTGTCGGCGTAATCCTGGCAGCAACTCCCCATCCATATTTTTCGAATATAAATTGACTCAAAAGCATCATTGTGAATGTAGCAACTCCAGTTGCAGTTGAGAAGTCACCCATAAATGAAGAGTACTCATTTGGGCTGGGAAACTGCATAATTTGTAGGGAAGGAGAGATAGATCATGGTCAGATTGTCCATTATGAAACCAAAACCAAAACCAGCAAATTCCTGCCACACTGATATGTATGATATTACCTGAGCTTTTAGCTTTGATTTCCATGTAACCTCAACAAGGTTAATGCTAATTCCATATGCAACCACCAAAGTTGCCAGATCTCTAATGTACTTTGAAGACACCAAGAACTTCAAGCTCTCAATTGTTCCCATTTTGGGCTTCTCCTATAGAGGTAAACAATTAGAGATATGTCACTTAGCACATTCCAAATCATACCAGAAAGTGAATTTCCCAGTTTCCTTGAGTAAATCTATTATCAATTAATATACTAAAGAATGTAAGAAATGTAGATTAGAGAAGAGAAAATGGGTGAATAACTAGAAGTGGCAGATTAATGCATGCCTTAGGAAGAATTCTTATATTAAAAATAGCATAACATTGTTTTAGAAGGTCACCTTCTTTTTCTTGCTACGTGTGGGAAGGGGAACAAAACTATTCACCCACCAGTAGAAGAAACAAATTGCGGCTCCCATAAATACAACAATACTCATCATCCCTTTCAGAGAAATGGCCCAGCCATCAACTCCAGGTCCTAAGGTTTTCCTCAGATTTGAAAAGTATTTTACTGTCCTGCCTGAGAATACAAGGGCTACATTGGCCCCAAGTCCAAACAAAGGATAGAACCGCTTGGCTTCCTCAACCGTAGTTATCTGCATAAAAAACAAACTTCCACTACTCATTCTCATTCAGCAACAGTTCGTACAAACCAACATTGACACGGATAAGTTAGAAAACAATAATATCACTAATTTTAGAGCAGATTGCAAGCAGGAAAATTGTACACTGACTGCTTTTCTCTAAACATGGAGAAAATCACTAAAATTGTAAGTCTGTTGCAATAAACATATCACTGGACAGAAAAATTGAACATTGTTCAGCTTTTGTTCATCCTTCTTGCCAACTGTCGACAGATACACTGCTACATTGGTGGTGCAGGACATGAGCCAATTACAAAACCAACAATGTGATCACTTAAGATTCAGACTATTTTTTTTAAAAAAAAAATCATGATAGAATATGAAAATTAAACAACTATAAAGAAGGATGAATTGGATACCATTCATGCTAGACATTTTCACGTCAAGCCAGTTTTCTCTTGTGCATCAATATTCATTCATAATCATACTTATAGAACTCATCCACCCCTCGGAATACATCCAAAACTGATCAATGGTTTAGCCACCAAAGAATTTGATATCAAAAGAACAGAAGAAAGGAAGGCAAAAGAGCATTCACTCCTCTCCACCATTAAAAGAAAAGACCAAGACCATGATACATCAGTTGAAGTTTCCTTTTCAAAAACCAACATAGATTTCTATTGAAATTATTATTGATTAAATACACTGAAGGTATACAGTACAGGAAAAAGCAGAATAATGATTGAATGCACAAACTGAAGAAAATCAATCTAAACAAATGTACACATGCCAATCATGCAAAAGAAAAATGCAAAACAGTTCAATTGCCAATCACGATAGGCAATCATATCTACATTTCATCCAACCATATATAAATCAATTAGAGAAGAATGATGTCCCATTCAAGAAGGAAAATGTAGAATATGCTAAATCAAGATCCCATGATAAGGACATCAAAATCACAATGATATTAAAGACCGCAAAAATAAAACAATAGTCGGTTCATCCAATGAAATCACCTGATTGGCAAATCCCCAAAACAGGACAGAAATGACTACACTGCCCCACAATTCAGCCATGACATAGAATAAACAGAAGCTCCAGATTCTCGCGATTGCAAGAGGACCAAGGAACCTTGGACCAAGGATGTTAAGAAGCTTATCAGCAAATGCCTGTGGGTGAATGTAATTGCTAAGTGGGTACAGAAGAAAACCAAATGCCCCAAAGAAGGCTATAAAGGGGACAATAACAGCGTAAAAAAGAGCTTGCTTGGACAGAACATTGGCCAATTTAGTATATAACAACATGAATCCAACGGCCATAGGCAAATTCACCCACGTTTTCAGAAATGGTATGATCTCAGCACTACTTCCTCTGGCTGTCACAACCAGAACATCCTTGGTGTCTCTGAGAATTGTGTAGTTAAAGAGAATGCAAAAGAACATCACCCCAAGAGGTATGATCTTCTTGAGTGTGGTTATCTCAACACCCAATAATTTTGATTTCTCATTTTCAATTTCTCCAAATACAGGCTGATCGTCAGCTGCTGCAGGAGCAGCTTCGGCCCTGCAGATGAATAAATTTCGGTCCTTCTGATCGAAGGACTTGGCTTTATACGTAAAACGATGTAATTCTTGGAGGCCATTTGTAGATAGAGAACAACCATTGAGACTTTTGGGTTTCGGCGACAAAAATCTGTGTTTTAAGCCCTGTGATGGGTGGAAAACCCTAGTTCCGGGGTACGTGGGAAGAGAAAGAAGTCCTTTAGCCTGAAGAACGGCGTCCATTTCTCAGTTCCTTGCTTTAGGAAGGAGAATGTCAGAATGCAGACAGATACTCATAAGAGTAAGAGAGAAGGCGACCAGAGGATGAAAAACAACTTAAAAAATAATAAAAAAAAAATCTCAAAGGGAAGATTTGCTGGGTGCAAATAGCTTCGATATGTAGTTCAGCCACCACCGAACCCTCAAAGGTAGAGTAATGAGGGGGGCAAGATAACTTTTTTCTTTTTTTCAAAATGAAGAAAGCAGGTGTTAGACTGTTAGTCTGAAAATTTGGCAAATAATAACAACAACAACAACAACAATAATAACAATAATAATAATAATAATAATAATAATAATAATGGGTAGGTAAATTTAAGGCTTTGCCCAATCGGTGTATTGTCTTTTAAATTATTTCCATATTATTCGCTTGAGTTTTTCTTCTAAATTTTAAAGTTTTAGACAACATTCTGATTTTTTTTTTTTTGGCCCGAGACAACATTCTGATATTCAAGATCTCAATTTATCATTAGAATTGAAGTTATTTCGAAAATGTTAAAAATGTACATTAATATACTCCAATTGGAGTTTTCAACCATATCAGAATATTAGTTTTTTTTTAAATACATATATTACTTATAAAATGTTGTTGACAATTAATGGTGAATAAAATATTGTAATTAGTCGATCGTATAACTTTGATAATTAACTTCACATCTCAGGAAGCTGAACAAAAATTATGAGATTGATGAGTCAAAATACACCCCAAAATTTTCCATAACATTGTCGGTTTTCAAATGTATAATGTAGATGCCATTTTATACTTGTATTAGTTTATCTGTCATAGAAGTGAAAGTGAGTATCATAACTTATATGCTGCTAATGCAGAGTAAAAGAATCAGAGCCTCAGAGATAAGTATTAGATGGAACACAACCGAAATTTTTGGATCAAAATATACTTAGAAGCACAGTCATAGAATAAGTCAATGGATAGATGATTTGGTAGAATTCTTTATTGTAAGTAAAGCAGATGAGTCCCTTTCATTTCCATTGAAATTAGGGTGTCATGTAGATAGCAACAAGTCCCTTATAAATTTTGAGCCCTTGAATACATGGTTCAATGGCATTGAATAAATATAGTTTACAAATACAAAAAGGAAAAAAAAAAAAGAAGAGGAAGAAGTGGTGGGTTATTTAGATTCTAAAATAGTAGGAAACAATATGATTCCATGAGCAACTTCGGTGGTAGGTGAAGGGAGTCACCCACGTGCCAGTTTTGAAATAATCCAGCAAAGCCAAACACACCCACTCATGTAATTCTTTGTCAGAATATCAATTTCAATGTATAAATAAAAATATAAATTCGCAGTTATTTATTCACACCAAGTCACAAATGAAGTATTGTTGTGTTTTGTTCTTCAAATTAAAAAAAGAAAAGAAAAGAACTTGGGTCACTCGACAACAAATTAAAAAAATATACACTTGGACTTGCTTGTGTCAAGGCAATAACCATTATAATGATAATATTCAAAGAAAACAACCATCAATTCAATTCATATCTATACTTGTGAATTCATTTAGTAATAATCTCATTTCATGAAAATGGGAAGATTATACATTAGACAAGGTGGGCCAACATCAAAGTGGGCTATGGGCCAACCGGAGCCCAAATTATTGAGATTCCTTAGGCCCATACCTTCTGGCCCTCTCATCGATCCACTCTCTCATGTCCTTGAGCACAAGATTGGCACAGTCATCAGGCTCCCCTTGGATCAGAGAATGGTACATCCCATCGTAAAGCTTCAAGCTCTTGTCCTCACTGGATGCCTTCTCGTACAACAAACGGGAGGACGACGGACACGTCACCCCGTCAGCGGTTCCATGGACAGTGAGGAACGGCGCCGTTACTCGGGAGAAGTTATCCTGTATGTACTGGCACACCCTCGCCAGCTCCCTCATTGTACCAACCCTAGGTGGGCCCGTGTACCTCCGTGGATTGGAAGCTATGATCTTCAGCTTCTCAGGGTCCTTTATAGCTTTTCCCACCATCTTGTTGTCCGGCATCGCCGCCCACGTGTCAGCTATCCCGAACAGCAGACCGTAGAGAAACAACCGAACCTGTCATCCACCAGAAAATCACCAACCTCAATTAAATTTAAATGATCTAAATTTCAAATTAATTTTTTATAATTTTATAAATTAATTGTCTAAATTTATTTTAGACTGTCTAAATTTAATATTAAAATTTTATATATATTTTAAAAAAATTTATTTTAATAAATATAATATAAAATATAAAAATAATATTTAATTAACAATTTTGTAAAAAGATTATAAATTTTAAATTTTAAATATGTACCATACACATTCATCTAATATCATTAATAGTAATGATGAAGTATTGAAGTTGGTGGTCATCAATTACTTCGTCTCGGTCTGTTATATTGTTAATTCACTTAATTGGAATGGAAATTACCTTGCTTGGCTTCATGTTCTCGGGGATGACGAAAAGTGGGGCGGAGAAGATTAGGCCGGTCCACGTGTCGGGCTCGGATTGGAAGTACATAAGCATGGTGGCCGCGCCGCCCATGGACTCGCCGAAGAGGAAAGCCGGAAGATGCCTGTACTGATCGCTCCGGCGGACGTGAAGGAAGAAGGAGAGTGAGGTGGCGGCGACCTTCTCCATGTCGCCGAGGTAGCATCGGATGCCGTCGGATCTGCCGTGGCCAAGGAGATCGGCGGCGAAGACGGCGTAGCCCCAGGTGGCGTAGTGGATGCAGATCTTCTGGAAGAGCCAGCCGGTGTCGGAGCCGTAGCCGTGACTCATGAAGACGGTGGCCTTGATGGGGGTGGCGGGATCCAAAGGAAGGAAGGATTGAGTGAAGATGTTGCCGTTCGGAGTTTGGAAGTAAGATTTGGTGTTGCGGACTCCCTGAGAGGCGTAGTACTCTTCCTCGGGCATATCGCCCCAGAAGTTAGGCGGAGGAGTCTCAGAAGAAGCCATGTTCAGAGCTCAGAGGCAAAGCAAGGAAGCCGTGTTTGCTTTTGATTTTAAAGAACCCGAGTTTCCCACTTCATCATTCAACAGATAACGAGCCTGGGAGTTGGTGAATCCTCTTGCAAAATGACCATTAAGTGCCACCCAAATCATTCTTTATAAAATTATTCTAAACTGTTCCTCGTTTCAAAAATACAGAGCATTTTTTAGATAAGATATTCAAAATATATTACATTTCAGATTTTTTAATGTATGATTAATAAAGTTTTTTTAAAAAAATACTTTTAATTATGAGTGTAATTAATAAATTTTTTAATTAAAATATCTTATTAAATAAAAATAAATATTGACTTACTTTACTTAAAAAATGTATTATAATACTAAACAGAAGGAATATTGTATTCTCTTTGAACCAAAGTAGATCCTATTGATTGGTTCAAAAATTTCAAAAGGTCAAGAAAAATTCAAATTTCCTAAAAAAATTACATCTTTTTAATTATTTTTTATTAAATATTTTATATAAGTATCTTAATAATAACAATCAACAATTATCATGTAATAATTGATAATTTCAGTAAAAAACATATAAGGGTTTAAAATAATTTCGTAATTTCATAAAAAAATTCTGTGTTCAAATTACTTGTCTCCAAGTGAGACCTAAAATTCTCCAACTTTTTTTAAGTAATTAAAAAATTGTTTATTTAATTTTTGAGAGTGTTGGTTAGAAAGTTGGTGGAGGGTGGGGCCCCAAAAGGTTAGGTGCACTCTTATCAGGGATAGGCGCTGGAATTATTTTTTATAATCCAAGTTATCCCATTGAGGCATTGACTATTCCACACACAAGTTTTTAGTAGAATATAAGAATAATAATAATCATAGTAGGAGTGGTAATAATCCGCGTGCATTCCATTGATGAGGGCAAAATAATGGTTATCATTTACCAAAGTTTTAGTACAATTGGATATGCCCGCTTAAGTATTAAATATTGAGCTTGAGTCAATGTAAATGTGAGATTAAAAAAAAATAGGTACAATTAATAAGACTCTTAAATTTAATCACGTCAATAACCATATCAAAAAATTAATCATTGATTTAAAGAAAGTATCCACCTAGTCTCATTTATAAAAAGTTTGAAATACTTTTTACATCTTTAAATAAAAGTTATGATGTTACTTTATTTTTTTAAAAAATATCACTGTTTAATCATACCCTCATTGTTTTAAGAAAAATAATCATTGATATTATTTATGTAAATAAAAATTAAAAAATGATTTTATCTCTCTTTTTTATATACTTTATAATTAAGATTATTTTTAAATGATTGTTTTAGAGAGTTCAGAGGGATCAAAAATAATTAAAAAAATATAAAAATTAAAATATAAAAAAAAGTATAAAAATCAATAATAATCATAAATGAAGTGCGAGAATTTAAAATTATGTTACAGAGGGGCTGGTTCTGTCAACATCTCAGAGTGAGAAACAATGAGCAGTTGAAAGTGGACCTGTTGGTGCCAGGCAATGCTGCCCAGTGGAACAGCATGAATGTGCGTTTTGTGTTGTTGTATAGTACGAGATAGGATGGAATAAAATTACTATTTTATAAATAAATAACAGACTTTTTTATTAATAAATACTTTTTTCCCCAATGAAAATGTGGGAAAGAAGGGGCCACCTGCGGCTTAAAGCCATTTTCAGTTGCGATCTTCGGTCGCCAGGGTCCCACAAGTTGGGTAGGTGGCCTTTGTCTTTTTATGGGCTGCGGATTATTTTTTCCCCCCTTTTTATAAAGAGAAAATTTTATTTAAGGACCACAGAAATAACTTATTTTCAAGTAACTCTCAAAAAATTTAAAAATATCAAGTTCAGTTTTATGGGATTAAAATGAAAATAAGTTGAAAGTAAAAAAAATCAAAATACCTTTAGTTCAAACATAAAAAAAAAAAGAAGAAGAAAACCACCAGACACCATCATCAGTGACCGGAGCTTCGTTAATGACGGTAACCATTGGACCTCCATCGTCGAAGTTTCCACTGCTAGTTAGACCACCATCAGCGATGATTAGAAAATTAATTTCTTCAAAGGTGGCCAAGGTAGGTGTAAAACTCAAGATCTTTTGATTCACCAAAAGATTTTAGAGTTCTAAGCCACTCAACTCATTCAATCATATAATGCATAAAATTTTATATATATATATATATATATATAAAATAAATTTTATTTTCAAATCACTTGATTTTTACTTACTTGTTAATTGCGTGACTTTACTTGTTAATACCTTAAAAGGACTTGTTAATTACTTAACTCTCCTTATTAATCCATGACTCCTATAACAGAAATAAATTACTTTTTAATCACGTAATTATACTTGTTAATATCTTAACAGGACTTGTCAATTACTTAACTCTCCTTGTTAAGTCTATGACTCCCACAACAGAGTTACATTACTTGTTAATCAAGTAACTGTCGTTATTAATACCTTAATAGGACTTATTAATTAATTGACTTTACCTATCAAGTCCATAACTCCTTTAACTGAACTGCATTACTTGTTAATCATGTAACTTTACTTGTTAATTACGCAACAATACTTATTAATTGCATAGCTTGACTTGTTCATACTACAACAAGGCTTGTTTAACCATAATTTTGAAAAAGCAACTAAATTACTTATTAATTACATAACTTTACTTGTTAATTTCTTAACAATACTTGTTAGTTATCTATTGTCACTTGTTAAATGAATATATAATTTACATAAAAAAAATTATATATTTTTAACACACATATATTACTTTATTAAGTTATTATGTCACTAGTTTAACTACCAATCTAACCGTTTAAACTATAAAACTCATGACCTGTTGATCTTTTTAGCTCAATGTCTAGTTTGATTTTTAAAACATTACACTAAACAATGCAACTTATCTATTAATTGTATACTTTATGAGACTTTCACCTATTTTTTTTAATTTAAAAAACCCATAGTGCATGGTATGTGTGAGCCTACTGTATAGATTTTGGGCAGTGCTTAAGGGACTGAGTTGATATTTCAAAAACAAAAGGTACAAATCTGAGTTGATATGTGGGTGCTTGACCCAGAAATTTTGGGCTTAATGGGCCTTATTAATTCTGGGCCATGGTTTGTACGGAAGCCTGCATTTGACAAAAAAAAACCCTAAAGAAATGGATAATGTAAGCCTGCCACTAAAACGGGGAGGGAAGAATGGCAGGGAGTCAGGTTCAAATGATTGAATTTATGATGGTAGATTCTCGACAGATTTTCCAGAAAATAATTTGAAAATATTAATTTAAATAATTATAAATTCATGAATATTAATTACATGTAATATATTTATATTTCAAATGTAATTCTCAGTTTTTAATTTGAACTTTTATTTGTAAATGTTTGAATTTATATTTACAATTTATTTTTTTTTTAAATTCCTAACTATTATCAATTCATTGTTTTGAAACTTAAATGTCGTTGGTAAAAAAAAAAAAACAAAGAAACTTAAATGTCATTTCCCCGTGGGAAAAGATTCTCGTGTGATTAGCCATACTTACAAACTTACTTCAGTCTCATCAACCCTTTGATCTGAGTGTCTGGATTTTAATAGATTTAAGGTTTTATTTCTCTAGAAGGATTATTTAATCTTGAGTGCTCTCAAAAGCATTCAACAGTCAACACTAACCCCTATCATGTTAACTAAATAATTAATAAATCTAACAACAAAAACATATATTTGGTGCAATGCCTAAAAAATCAGTATAGTTGATGGCATATTACCTACTACTGTAACTCATTAAATGTGACCCGTCTAAAATATTAAACCCATTAAATTAGAAAAATATAAATTAACTGTAACAAGGACGTTCAATAAAATATTAGTACTAGAGATAGTGGCATGGTCTTTACAGGACAAAAGATATGGCGGATTAAACTAGAATTAAAATAATAATTTCATGAAAAGCTATCATTAGGCATTGTCTTCTTTCTTTGCTGTCTCTGGCATATAATTGGACATTATCCAGCCAATATTGACATGCTTCAACTTTGTCATCTTCTTCCTCCACCATTTCATTTCATCACATAAATATTTTTTTTTAAATCACTTCTTTTATTTTTCTTTTTTAAAAGTACTAGGGATTGGAATATATATATATATATATATATATATGTATGTATCGACACATACTTGCAGGAGTGGTTTAGCATATTTTAATGTGACAGAAACATGAGTAGATACAATTTACTTAACTTTGTTGTTTACATTATCAAAGATAACGAACTGGTCAGCTTTTTACATATACAGTTGGCTCTGGATATGATGCAGCTTTATTGGAAAGATGGGAAATGAAGAAGACAACAATAACAACGAGGCTTACAACATGTTATAATTATTGTGTGTGTCCCCAACTGATAGTCGCTATTTATCGTTTCATATCAGACACAAAGTTACCTCGCTCGTCCACCAAACTGCCAAAGTCAATTGGCAAGAGGTTGCTTATTACAGTTTAACTAGCAATCTCAAATTCAAGTTTTGAAATTATAACTAACATTAAAACTTGTGATAGTAAAGATTGCCACTCAAAATGGTCCTGCAATGTACATTTGATACGGATTTTGTCTGACTTCCAGTTGAATTTCCTCGTGGGGCAGAGACCTAGGTTACTATTTGCATAAGCAAAACAAAAAAAAAAAAAAAGACCTCCCTTAATACCTTAAAAAAAGGCCAATGAAATCAGATCACATACAGTAACAATATATTTATAAATGTATAATCATTTAAAGAATTGTCTCATCGTTTGCTTATCCTCTTTTATTTCGACTGATTAATAACATTTACGATCTATTATGTAGAGATTGAGATATAAGTTAACAATGTTGATACTTTAGTTGGAGAAAGCGTGCGTGGCAGGGCAGTGCCTAAAGTAAATCTAATACAGTAGTGAATGAATAAAACAAGGGTATAAGTTTAAAGTATCTTGTTGGGAGAGTGTGACAAAGAATAAAACACATTACTGATTACAGATGTTGACGTTAAAATAATTTTAAAAACCAATTTTTAGCCTGCAACGTAACTTTTGAGCATTGTGAGTGCCAA